CACTTTGTATGAATAGGGATCAAATGGGTCATGAGTGGGTTAAACCCACCAAGCCCACCCACCCCATTAGCCCCTGGGTTGGGGGTGATGTTTCTGCTGGGGCATGACCTGGCCACGAGGCAGGACTGTCCCACAGCTGAATCCCTGACTGCTCATGGGCAAAGGAGGCCCCAGCAAAGGCTGGTGATGCTGAGACAGGAGTAAGGGGCATCTTGCAGGTGCTGTCAATTGCTCATGGGTGTTTGAAAGCTGCTGCATCCTACCGAAGCCCTTCCAGGGAAGTTCTGCATTTCTATTTTCCCCAGCAGGCACCACCGGCGAGATTTGAGATTATTCATGGCTGTCTGTGCCAGCTCACAAATAATAGCTCAGACTAATTCATTTTAGAAACCTTTATGGTAACTGATGGTTTTGGAGCAGAGCAAGTTGCTTAAATGAGCCCAGTAATCAACCTCATCAGTGATCAACTACTTGCTGAGAGGAATAATAATAGCAGCCTTCACTGGCTGTGTTCTCCCTCCCCACTGCAGACTGGTGCTGCCAAGCTGTGAGCAAGGGGCTGGGGGCTTACAGGAGGGGCAGAACAAACCTCAGGAGGGCTGAAGTGAGTGCTGGGGTCAGCAGCAGGGATGTGCTGCATCCCTGGGATCCTGCTGGGATGGGGTTCAGGCTCTCTGGCTTCCCAGGGGGTCCCATGAGCACAGTCTGCAGCATCTGGTTTTGCTGTGCTTGTGCAGTGTCACTGCAGTTCCCCAGTGGGTGTTTGAAGCAAAATAAGGGTCAGGCTTTTGATTTCTCTGCATTGTCTCCCACCTCAGTCTAACCAGGGCTATGAAAAAAAACCCTTCCTGTCAATAGGTTTGGCCCATTTTTAGACAAATGTGTGCTGCAGTGAAATAGGGGTTTGCCCCATTAAAATGCTGTAGTCCTGGCATTTCCAGTTGTCTCCAGTCAGTCCCCACTTTGCACAGAGTTGTGGGGAAGCTGGTCTCAGAGCACCACTGCTGCACTTTAATCCCTGCCATCCCCTGAACCAATTCACCACACTGATACATGCTACCATGGAGGTGTTAAAGGCCAGGTTGGATGGGGTTTGGAGAGATCTATTCTAGTGGAAGGTATCCCTGCCCATGGCAGGGGATTGGAACTGGATTTTAAGGTCCCTTGCAGCCCACACCATTCTGTGATTCTATGATGATTGTATGATTCCAGCCCTCAGGAGCAGTGAGGCAGCTTCTGACACACACACCCTCCCTTCGTGGGGCAAGGAGGAAAGATTTATCCTTACCTTGCATGTAAGATGTGCTCCCATCTGGGAGCAATCACACATAGGAAATAGATAGGACCATGGACTGAAATCCTTTTGAAGCAGGAATGAATATCTTTGGGGTCACCAGATCAGTGTGTAGGTGGGAGATGGGACTGCAGATACCTGGGTTGCCATCAAAACCTCCTGCCATCCCTGAGCAGGCACACTCAACACAAAAGCTCCAGGCAAAGTTGCCCTGAAACAGGCCAAGGGAGAGTTTGCTGATGGGGGGTCAGCAACCCCACTGCCTCCCAGGAAGGCAACCTTGGCAAAGCATGAAACAACTCCACTTTTTTTCTTCTAAAGACTTCAAACAGGCCCCTTGTTAGTGCAAAACTCAGCTCCACCCTGGCTCTGGGGAATCCTTCTGTTGCTACAACAACTAATGCTACAGAAGTAATAAGGCAAGAGCGGAGTTTTTCCAAGGACTGGATTTGCACTAAGCTGCTAAATTCAACACATTCTTGGCCAAGTGGAGAACTAGGGAGGAGCAAAGCCAGATTTTTTCCTAGTCCTGTCCCTCTTGTACGGCTCAGGTAGAACATCCCAAAGCTGATATGCTGGGCAGATGCAAAGCTCCTGCTCCCACCACCAACCTCTAACTTTTTCCTCTTTATTCCTTAATTGGTAGGCTTTAATGCACAAACCTTCACCCAAAAACCACTTATGTAGATGGGAAGCAAGAGCAAAGGACAAGGAGGTGACAATCAGAGTGAGTCTTCAAAACCAGGCTGTCCCATTGTCTCTGTGTCCTCCACCATTTTGGGAGTCTGATGCAGTGCTATGTTTACTAAATTTATGTTTACTAAGCATTTGGGTGCTAACAGTGAAAACAAATATAAACAAGAAGCCCTTTGCAGTGTTGCAGGCTGAAGGATTGGTTGCAGCTCTTGCTGCAGGACACAGAGAATTATTTGCAAATCTTTATGAAATTATTGCAAAATATTTTTATAGCATCATATACCAACCTTATACTGATGAAGACAGAACGACCCAGGGATGCGAAGTACCTTATATTCTGTACTTAGAGAACATCTTATAATCTTCCCTTGCCCCATCCTTATGTGTAGAGGTCCATTTTAAAATTGAAAAGATATAAAAAAAAGAGGAAAAAAACAACCAACCAACAAAAAAAAACAAAAACCAAAAACCAAAACCAAACAAAACCAAACCAAAACCAAACAAAAAAAACCCCAAACAAACAAAAAAAACAAACCAAGAATAAATATATTTATTAATGGAGTTGTACAGCTCTGAGCTGCAACCTCTGAGCCACCTGTGGATTTAGATACTACAAAACACAAGTAAGGGCTAAGCTTCCCAACCCTGGGCAGCTGCTGCGAGAGCAGATGCTCGCAGTGAATAAAGACGTTGCATCTCGGTCCGTGCTGTTACACCTTGATGGGCACAGCTCCTCTCCCTCCCCAGCACAGACACTGGCAGCTGCTTGCTGTGCTCAGCAGGACTGTTATCAGATGGTAGTGATGTGTTTGCTGCTCCAGTTTTGAAACCAAACCAATTGTCATCTCCAGCAACGCTCTCGGCGCCCCGTCACCCTTCTGAAGGACATCAGCAAAATATCAGTGAGAAAGTGAGATATTCCCCCAGATGGACCAGCAGGTCATTTTCAACCTGTTTTCTGCTTTCTGGATTTCTAAAACCTTCCTGTGACTAGAGGTTTGTGTTGCCTGAACACGGTTCATCCCTTATGCAGCTTTTGCTGGATGCTGGAGGAGCCGGCAATTCCCTTTGGCTACAGGAACCAAACCTCTGTGATCAGCAGCCGCCTGTCTCCAAGGCTTATTTAGTCTAATCACATAGTCAAAACTGGAGACTGGTCTCAGCTTTTCAGGAGGAACAGCTGAATCAAGAGTGGGCAGGAGCACAGACTGGCACCATTGATAGTGGGAGAGAATAAAAGCGCAGGAAGACCTGTGAAATTAACTATGCAGGATGCAAAACTGGGTGTATGACATTGGATTCTCCAGCAGGTAAAAAAAGGATTGAAAAATACCCTCAAATGTATTGGTATTAGTTTGGAGTATTTTTTTCTTCCAATTAGTTTCTCCTTCCTTAGTTGTTAAACAGGAGACCCACACAGAAGGAGATGTTTCTCCACCAGGAGGATGGAGAACCTTTCAATACCTCTGCAGGCCTTTCTAGAGATATCCTACAGGCACTGTGGGATACACTTAGAGGAGAAATCTCTCTTTAATAGGCCTTTTTCAGAAATTCTAGAAAGTGATTTTGGCACCTGATCACTAAACTGGTGCCACAGGACATCACACGTGGTGGTGTGCCCAAATGTGTAGAGCCTTACCTCACCCCTGCCACGGAGCTCAACCACCAGCAGCCTCTGCAAAACAGATGGGCAGGGTATTTTATACCCCAGCAGTGGTTTTTTTGCACATCAAAGTCCAAAGGCGTAAGCAGTGAAAGAAGAATTTACTCTGACCCAAAGAAACCAGATACGAGCAGTAAATAAAGACCAAGCCCTGCCAGGTGACTTCTGTGTGGCACAGGTTTATAGTTAGCAATGCAGTTTGTTTTATTAGTTATAAATAAAGTACAAAAAATCCACCAAAAGTGAATCTAAGCATTTACACAATTTCTAATGTCTTTCCATTTCTTCAATGCACTATTGCTTTAATATTAATAATAAATATTTTTCTAGCTTTCTTCTATAAAATAGTCTATGTAGCAAAATGTTGCACAGCACAACAGAACAGCAGTAGGAATACAAAAATGTGGGTGATCCTTTCACCTGCCCGGGCCATTAAAGGAGAGGGGTTTTGTTTGCTCCTTGTTTTACTTATCCCTTTTACAGTGACTTTGGGGGGGACAACAACCAACCCCCCTGTCCCCAAACAGCTCAAAATCACAGCTCCAGGCTACAGGGGAGGAGTGTTAGAGAGCAGCAAGGTAAAAAACACAGACAGGTTTAAAACCTGGGGTAAGGCAAAGTCAACAAAGCAGAGCAGCACCCTGAAGGGACAGAGAGAAAAAAATTAAGGTACAGTGATTTTGTGCCTTTCTAACCCAAAACAGAATTGCATCCAAAGCCTTTTAGGGTGGGGAGGTGTGGCTACTGGCTGAGCACATGCATTAAACCCCACTTCTGTCCATACATGGCTGAGTGTCTGAACTGACCAAGCGTGGTTATGGCTTAAAGCTTAAAATGTTACCACATGTACTCTCACCTTCTTGAAAAGCTGGAACACTTGATATTCAGGAGCCTTTGGGAAAGGGCAGAGCACTGTGAGAGCGGCGTGGCCGTGGCAGGATGGGGATGGGGATGCTTAGCCATGTCATTTTGGGGCTGACTCCCTTCTCTGGTGCAGGTCCCAGCTCTACAGTGGACTAAAAAGCTCTAAATGGTGGTTTCTCTCTTTACAGAAGGGATGAAACCAACTGACCAAGAGAATCAGTTAGGGGCTTCTGCCACATTCACAGCTCAGAGCTGGGTTATAGCAAATGCTCATGACAGGCCTTGAAAAGGGATGCCAGATCGACCCTGTGGTCCATCCCACCCCCTCCCAGCTAGACATGGCATCACAGAATCCCAGAACGGTTTGGTCTGGAAGGGACCTTAAAGCTCATCTTTTTCCAACCCCCAGCCATGGGCAGGGACACCTTCCACTATCCCAGGTTGCTCCAAGCCCCGTCCAACCCGGCCCTGAACACTTCCAGGGATGGGGCAGCCACAGCTTCTCTGGGCAACCTGTGCCAGTGCCTTACCAGCCTCTGAGTAGAGAGGTCAACCCCTAAAAAACTGCAAGGAGTTCCTCACTTTTGTTCCCCCCAAGCCCAGGTTCAACCTACTGCCTCCTTCACCCCAGCTGGGTGCAGACACAGAGGGTGAAAAGAGCCAAACCGGGCACCCACAGGCACCAAAATCCGGACAAAGCCACCACCACACCTGGGTTTCCTTCCTTGGCCTTTGAAGCAGCGTGCAGAGCCTTGCACTAAAGGGTGCAGAGCATTGCCCCAAGCGCAGCCTTGCAGCGGGGGCCTGCTGGGTGTCATTGCAGGGTCACACATGCAGCAAAGAGCAGCAGCAGCAGCATCACCAGCGGCGGCGGGGACGGGGCAGGACCGGGAACCAACCACAAAATGTTTTTGGTTTTGCAGAGCGTCGTTAACCCGCCTTCAATGCGCGGGGACGCAAGCGAAAGGATCACCAGAGTTTGATTATGAGTGCAAATAATATTCATATATATGTGCTAAACACAGTCACTATATTGCAGTTTTCCACTATGTCACAGCATACAGAATCAAAGGTTTGCATTTTTATGGAATGTATCCAAGGTAACAGCACCACAGTAATACAGTTTGTAATCACACACCCTGATTTTTTTCTCTTTTTTTTTTTTTTTTTGTTTTTGACAAGATAAGCATTACCCCCCACATCCCCTGTTTAATTTTTTTTTTAAGTACCGATGCATGCAAAGCATTCCATTCCCAGAAACAATGCAAAAATGAGGTAATAGGAGTAATAAAAAAAATTAGTAGTAATTTCTAAATAAATAAATTATAATTAAAAATGCAAAAAAAACCAACTATAAAAATAATTAAATAAGAACCCACAATATCTACAAGTTAGTCATAAATTATGATTGTTAAATATAAGGCATTTAAACTCACAAAACCCTGTAAACTATCAATGTTTTGTTTCTAGAGATTTTTTTGTTGTTGTTGTTTGTTTCATTTTGTTTTTTTTTTAAACTCACCCTATTATCGCAACCTACTCGTACAAATTATTTAAATGCAAAGAAACCTGACACACCAATACAACTCCAGATGCTGTAAATTCGCACACACCTTGGGATCAGTCACTCACACTTAGACCATGGGAGTTTGGTGCTTTTCTTCACCAAAGGGTTTGTTATTTTTTTTTTCTTTTTTAGTTTGCTTGATCTTTTTTTTTTTAAAAACTGTGCTTGTTTATTAGGCAAATAGTAACACTTTCTCACAGGCTTTAAGGAAACACGCTGTTCAGGAGCACTTTTCATCCCCTCCCCACCCAGCCAGAGTCCCAGCCACTCTGTTTCTCTCCCAGCTTCACCCCCAGCTCACGCCTGGACAGACCAGATCTCCTTACAGTGTATTTTACCAGCAAAGCCTTGTATAAAATAGTATTATTAGTATTATTTGTAATGATGCTTCAATCTGCTGCTGCTGGAGCCAGCCCCAAGGATGGACCACTCCTTGACCCATGGACATCAGGGCTGGAACCACCACATCCCCCAAGAAGCTGTTGCTTGTGCTGAGTGTCAAATATATCATAAAATCATGGAATAGTTTGGGTTGGAAGGGACCTTAAGAGGTCATCCAGTTCCAACTCCCAGACGTGGGCAGGGACACCTTCCACTAGACCAGGATGCTCAGAGCACTGTCCAACATGACCTTGAATGTTTCCAGTGATGAGGCAGCCACAGCTTCTCTGGGTAGCCTGTGCCAGTTTCTCATCAACCTCACAGCCAAAAATTTTTCCCTTATGTTTTCCCTATATGCCACCAAGTGTCCCACTCCCCTCCCTCCTACCTACATGGACACATGAAGAGAGAGGCTCCTGCACCTCCACGTCCATGGGGATTCCCTCTTTCTCTCCCCTCTCCCTTTGGGAAAAAAAAAAAGTCTCTGTGGTGCCTCTGAGGTTGGTGTTTTCCAATTACAGCTCATGGGAATCTTCCGATTTCTCAGATAGCGGTTTATGATTGATTCTACTTGGAGAGCATCACTTGGCTCCAGCGAAATGGATGCTCAGGGGAGCCAGAAATCATTCCCACCACATCAGAATTTTCAATACATAATGTTCCTGACTAATTCCCCTGCTGGTCCTCTGCAGCTCTTTCACTCCCCTAGTATGAAATTAAAAAAAAAAAAAAAAAAAAAAAAAGGAAAGAAAAAGAATATTTTGGTTGTGAGTGTCGGTTTTCCGGAGGGTTTTCCACTCGGTCCCTGTGGTTGGCATGCTGAGGTGGTTTTTTTTCAGGGGGAGCGTGGATCACAACAGCTTGCTCCTTCGGGTATTACCTCTTAATTCTGTTTTGAGTGTTAATGTGATTAAGTTGTGTTTTAACAACCACTGATTACTCCGTGTGGATACAGCCTGAAACATGTACGCAAGCTCACACGGGTGCAGGTACACATTCTTTGAGGCAGGTCACAACCCAGCAGCAAACCTCCAAAAAGCAGCAACCCCACTTCCAACCTCCCTCCCCCTCCCACGCCCAGGTGCTCATGGTCTCAGCAGTGCCTTGAGAGCATCGAGTTTTCTTCTGTCCTGTTATCAGAGATGCCTTTGCATGGGAGAAGAGTCGATGTTTTGCACTTCTCAGCGCTTCTCTGGTGTTATTATACCCCAAAGCACAGCTGTAGGCACCCACTCCAGTAACCATCATTTTGGAGCTGGTGAAGCCAACCAGTCACACAGCTCACAGGAGAAAGCATCACAGACAATGGCAATCAAACAGACAGATCTTCCTTGGATTTTGATATGACAAGCTACTTTGTTAAAGATACAGAAAGCAAAGAAACAGCATCTAGTCCAATATTATGCCCCTACAGAAAGTGTCCAGCACCAGCAGACAAGCAGGAACGAAGCTTCTCCCTATTGCTTCGCTCGTTTTATCCCCAATTTTTATTTCTTTAAGCTTCTCTAAATTTGCAACACACTGTAAATGCAAGGGAAAGAAGCACACGCGGCTGAGGCAAAGAGCGCAAACCCTTCTGACTGTAAACAGGATTTTGCTTTTTCTCCTCTTCCCCCACCCCAGGGGTGGGAAAGTTTGACCTCTTTATTCCCCCTCTGCAATGTATTAATCAGGCACCAAAATAAGGAATCTATGAAAAAATATTTGGTGCAAAATAGGTAACAGCAACATGTCCACCACAAGATGAGTAGGGCATCAAACACAACATTTCTTAAGCTAACATGCTCCAGCTGCCATCCATAGAAATAGCTAAAGGACCCCTAACATGTTTCTACATATTCGAGAGGTATATATACAATCCCCATGAAGTGCAGGATTGACAGGCCAGGCTACCACAACTAGTTCCTTCATGTTCAACACTAAATCTTCTGCAGCACGGGGTCTCTGAGCTCCGGGAATGCCAGCTCCCTTTCACTGGGCCTGTATCCTGCGTATGTGCAATATCTCCTACTGCTAGATATTGTACCACCACCTCCTCCTCCTCCTCACTAACGTGCCTGCAGACTTCCCCTCTCAATCAAATGGCTCAGAAGGCAAAAATTTTGCTGCAAGGGTCTATGGCCATACGACCTGGTAAGGAAAATGGTGTGTCCAGCCAGTCCTTTCAGCTGTCCGAGCCGAGCTGTGTTTCAATGTCCACCCTGCAGATCGGGCACTTCTTGCTGGTGGCCAGCCACTGGTCCACGCACACTTGGTGGAAGAGATGCATACAAGGCAACCGCCTGCAGAGACAGAAAAAATACCAGCCTGTTAGGATGGAGGAGGCCCAAGGGACTGAGAAGAAAAGAAAAACACATGGGAAAGCACTGGAGTGGTGGCACCAGTGTTGCCGAGGTCCTGCAGCCTCTCCCAGCCACACCAGCTCACACAGGGAAGTAGGATGGAGATACTGCCCTTCTTGGCCTATTAGAAACCCCCACACCACCCTGAATTGAGTTGCTCCAGCTATTAATTACCCTGTCTGCTGCTTTCTAATCTTTCAGGAATAAGGTTATCCTCCAAAGCCTCTTGGTTCTTCATCACTGTGACTCACTGGCAGTTAGGTGGGTCCCCACTGCTCCTGCATGGTGTCTGGTGTGCCCCCAGGGAATGTGGTTGCTTTTTACCTACATCACCTTTGCTATCATCTGCCCTTGTAGTACAGAGGGCACAAGAACCCACAGCAAGAGGATCAGAGCTTTTTTTGAGGGTTTAAGGCAATTAAGGGGTGAGAAGCAGGACCAGGTGCTTCTCGCCTGCAGTTCCTTCAGCCGCAGTAGTTCAGTCCTTTGCAATTTCTTGTCCCCAGTCTCTGTCACAATCAGAGATCTGACCTAGACAACAGCCTGGGACATCTATTATGGATGACTGGGGTTCTGCTGTTGGCTCAGGAAGGTTCCCTGTGACCACGTGGGCAGAGTAATCTTATTCTACAATAAACCAGCTCCATTCTGGACACAAGCCCGAATCTCCTGGACTTCATACTCACGCTGCCTTTTATCATACTTTGGTCATCTGTCAAGCTCAGACATTGATGACTGCAAGCTCCAGATGGCTGCCTGAGACCTGGGACACATCCCTCTTTGGCAGTTTGCCACCTGGCCTATTGGCACAGCCTTGAAGCAGGTGATCCAAACCCAGGAGACACTATAAAAACTTGTCCCTGCTGCTGTTGCAGACCTCCTCCTACTTACAGCCCACACCAATGTCCATCTAAGTAGTTTTTGGTTTCCCAGGCCCTGCAACAACCCAAGTGAGTTTCTCAGGAGAAGAACAGGGACAATCCCACGAGTGCACAGTGGCATCAGTCCAAATAAGCACAACTCAGATGGCATGGAGAGGCAGAAGAGCAGATGAGAGGATCATACCTGACGTCTTCTCCATCTTCAAGCATGGACAGACAGATTGTGCATTTCTCATCGGTGTCTGACTCCTCTCCATCGTCTTGCTCAGCTTTGCCTTCCTGTGGTCTTCTCTGCAGCAAGGTTAAAGACATCATTTGGTTAGGCCTTGACTTTCTAATGGTCTCCCAAGCCTGGACAGTTGTAGGAAGGTAAATAATAAGAGCTTTTTCTATCAGCCAGATCCTCCAGCCTGGGGAAGCCAGCCCAGCCAAAACAGCCAGTGAGATGAGGGTGCCACCAACATGCTGCTGGCTGGCACATCTCCTCCTGGGGCCAGTGGCAGTGAGGCTGGTGGTGGTGCCCCAAGAAGCAGCCTGTCCTCTGCTGCCCTAATACAGCCTCATGCCACTTCCTTGCAGTGGGGATGGCTCCATGGTCTCCTTTGCTGGAAGCTTTTCCTGGAGACCCCAAAATGTGTGGGGCCCCCACTGCCAGGAAGGGCAACCACTCTGCCCCATGCCAGCCTGGCCACCAGCCCAGCCCCGTGCTGCACCACAGGGCAGTGCTCAGCCTGTCAGCTCTCCCCTTTTCTCCATTCTCCTATTAATACCATTTTTCTGGATCCACTGGAGATGCAGTCAGAGGTAAGTGCAGGAGGAGTTATCTCACTTTCCCCCCGGGCAACGCAACATCCCTACATGTTAACGCCCAGCCGGGGACGACCAACACACGGAATTACTGCCCAAACAAGCATTTTTTTCCCCGTTCTCTGCTTAGAACAACCCAAAGGTGTGCCACCCATCTCCTTACAGGGAAGACATCAGCTCCAGCAGAGGAGACACCCCTTGCGAAGGGAGGGGAGGACAAGGTCCCCCACGCCACGGAGCCGCCGCCCTCGCTCACGTCGGGGCCGCTTGCATGCAGAACAGGGTGGGTTTGCATGCACCAAGCCCCCTTGGAGGTGTGCACTTTCTTACCAGGTGCGGACAGGGGGGAAATTGCACCCGCTGGGTGGGAGAAGGTTGAGACCCCTTTGAAAATTTGGCCCGCAGCTTCCTAGCCTAGAAGTGAGAAACAGCCAGCTGAGCTACGCCACCGCTTCGGCCCCGGGAGCCCCCGCAAGACACCAAAGCGCCGCCTCTGGGTTTTACATTCCTCCCCTGCTTTGGGGAATGCTTTGAGTGATGGTTCCGGCTCGCCAACCCTGAGGATTGTGACCCACCAAAGGTCCTTCCTTCTGTCTGCTCCGTGCCCACAGCCCTTGGCCAGCTGGGAGGGGCTGGCAGCCGTGCCGTGGTTTCGGGGCACTCACCTTCTTGTACTTGTGGGGGAAGGTGAATCTCTCAATGGTGTTCTGGACGGCGCCCCGGCTCACACTGCCCAGCCTGTCCTCCAGCTGCAGCAGCTCCTGCGGCACAGGAACATCAGGAAATGCCATCCTCATTGCTCCCGAGGCATGAGGTCCCACCACATGATCCTACCCGCTGGTGACCAAGGCTCCCTCCTGTCCTTTCCTCAGTGGAAAGTCCATCAAACCCGAATCAGTCATGATTTCATGATGGATCTGAGCCCTGGCACTTTGGGTTAATAAATAATGGCTCGAGGCACGGAGCTGGATATCCAGTATTTCACAAATTAGGGTGCAATTTGAAATCCATCTGACAAGCTAGGGAAACAAAACCCCGTAGAACTGTGGAGCACTTTGTTTACAGACATGAAAGGAGCCAGAGTCAACTCAAGCCAGACCCAGGCACTTTGGAGTAAACTATCTTTTACCAAACACACTCAACCCCTTTGCCTCCCAGTCATTACTAAAATTGCTGAATGACTCAATGCAATTTCCATGCCACAAAACAGCCTTACAAGTTTATACCAGAGCTTGCATAGATTCCCAGCTCTTCAAAAATTAATAATTCCAGGTCCCCAAGATATACGTACTTCGTAGCTCTCCCGCACAGCAGATGTGTGCCTGCTTGGGTTCAGTCCCTGAAGAGCAAGCAACTGAAGTTGAGGGTAAGGGTAATTTCTGATTTCATGAACAACCTGCAAGAAGTGAGGGAGAGAGATAAAGCTACCTGTACTTACCCACAGAAAACCCTCGTGTACCCTGATGTAAATCTAGTGCTTTAAAAATACAAATTGAAAGAGCAGATTGACACCTTCACTGACAGAAGCCTTTTAATAACCAAAAAATGAGGTTTTATTAAATAGGTCTCCTATGAATTACCTAAGAACATGCATTTCTTCTGAATAAACTATCTGTTATAATAGCACCTGTAGCATCCATAATGTTGCAGTTCCAAACTCTCAAGATGGATTAGCTTTAAAAGAAATTTTATTTTATTTCAGTGGATGGATTTTTCTTCATCCTAGCTTCGATTTTTTTCTTTTAAGACTCACTGTAGTACACAGGTGAGAGGGTTTGACTACAATGCATCAGGAAAAACACCCTCGTGGGATTCCTGAGGATGCTTTAAGGACTAGCAGTGCTTCGCATGGCTCAGCTCCAAATACAGCACCCTGCTAGGAAAGTGGGTAGCAAATGACCCCAGTCAGCCCATCTTCTCATCAAACCCACCCCTGCCTGCGCAGGTGGCCACGCAAAACCTTCACAGGTGGCATCAAAGCTGGTGTAGAGAGCAACAACAGGATGAGGGATGGTCCTCAGGGCTGAGCCCAGGGAAAGGAGACACCCACTGCTCATCCTTTACATAAAAAAAAGTCCTGTGAGCCCACAGTTTGTTCCAGTATTAATAATATTATTATTAATAACTGCTGAGTCTCTCACATCCTGCCCGGGTTTTGCAGACCAGCTTGTGAACCCTGGCGCTGCACGCGATGGACCGAATCCTTCCAGAACATCTGAGCTTTTCTTTTCTTTTCTTTCTCTAATCCAGCGCAGTGATGCAACATTATCCTTTCAGACACTCCCTCCCACGGCCGGAGATAAGTGGGATTCGCAGAAGACAGGTGATAGAAAGATAGCAGCCTTTATTTTGACTGCCTTCTGGCAGACAATGCATAAAACATTTCTCAGTAAGAGCGTTTCACTTACCATCTGCGTTGAGGATGTGCTTCTGGGGAAATGGTGCATCCGAGGTGTGGCTAAGTAATGCTGATATGGCTGAGGGACGGGACGGACCTGGAACTGGGCGTGAGTCAGTCCCGCGTCGACACTGAGGTCCCTGTGGGCATGAGGATGGAAATAGGGCTTTGGATGCCATGGATTTGTTTGTGGACTACAGACCATGCTCACAGAGCAACCTCCCCGGTGGGCTCTGGGCTGCTGTGGGGTTCCTCAGCCTGGGGAGCTGCTCCTGGAAGGGAGTTTTCTCTAATTTGAGCAGTCACCCACCAGGCCAGCAGGAAGGAGTGAGGGGTTGGTTTTATGCCAGTCAGCGTTTGTGTTGGTCGGGGTCAGGGGCTGAGCAGGTGCAGCCCTGCTAATTTCAGAGCAAGAGCATTTTGGTGGCTCAAAATGATGCCCAGGCTCAGTAACTCAACCTGGTCAGACCAGGTCCTGTCTGTGCTGCCACTATTACGGTATGCCTTGAATATTTTGCAGGAATATAGGCAATTAGTCAAGGAAGCTGGTTAGGAGCTAGCTAGGTGCTGCCTGGGAGTTTTTTGATGTGCCTGTGCTCTCCTTGGAGGTCTCCCAGTCCAGACTGTGGTAGGACTTGGGGAGTCAAAGGAGACTTGCACCTCAACTGAACCCAGACTCAGGGTGGTGAGGGTGTGAGGTGTGAGGGTGGTGAGGCCCTGGCACAGGTTACCCAGGCAGTGGCTGCCCCATCCCTGGAAGTGTTCAAGGTTGGATAGGGCTTGGATCAACCTGGTCTAGTAAAAGGCGTCCCTGCCCAGGGCCTAGGGGTGGAACCAGGTGATCTTTGAAGTCCCTTCCAACCCAAACCATTCTGTGATTCTACAATTCTGTGAACTCTAGAACTGCAATTTGTGCATAAAATATAAAAGTTTTAAGAAATGTCTGGATGAGACTGCTGTAGAAAAGTGTGTTACACAACTAGCAGGCCAACAGCAATGGAGTAGGACACCCCTGATGGCCCTACTAGCCCACACGCAGCCTGGCCCAGGCGAGCAGAGGTGGAGCTCAGCTTGGTGAATCTGGGCACTTTTATCCAGGAGAATAACCCGGCTCAATCCCAGGACCCGGCATGACCAAGATCCCATCCAACTTCACAGCTCTGCCCAATCCATCACAGAGACATAAACTGCAGCCCCATTGCCACACCGTGTGGAGGGGATAGGAGGAGACCTAATGCAGCATCTCCATCTATAATCCAATTAGCTGATCCCTGTTCTCTCCAGCCAAAGAGTCTCTCAGCAAACGAGTGCTTTGAACATCATTCACTTTATCATAATTACAAAATCCGGAGCTCTAATAACCATTGTCTTCACATTTGCCAAAGCAAAGCTAATTAGAGCACAGGGGTGGCTTCCCGTCTCAGCCTCAAACTTCTCCTCCCCTGCGTGGAGGGACAGCAGCAGCACGTACCACAGCTTGTTAGAAGCAACCCAGATGTGTCCTCCAGCAGCTGTGAAACTGCTCCCACCCAGCAGAAGGTAGAGGACGTGAAGGGACAGTGAATGTAGAAATCCTTCATCCAGAACAGTCTGTGCACCAGGCAGCAGAGCCAGGGCTCTGGAATCCCCCAGTAAGGCACCCTGCACCAAGTTGGACTTGATGGCCCTTGTGAGTCCCTTCCAGTTCAGAACATTCTGTGGTTCTGTGATTCTAATTTGAGGCCAGGAGAGGGACTATCTTTACTGGCCCTGTGCTAGAGAGACAAAACCTGGCAGGGGATAAAACACAGCAGGCAACTGGCAGAACACAACCAGGATGAGAATTCACAGCACTGGGCACTTTCCAGCTCCCGTGTCACAATTTTGGATATTTATCCAATTGTTTAAGACTGTTCCCAGGTGGGTGGAAAGCTCAACTGGAAATCAGGAGGCTTTGGTTCCATTCTCAGCCCTGTCACTTTCCTGATGCACGACCTTGACCACTTCCTATCTGCCATCCCGTATTCCCTGTCTACAGAAGAGATGTGGTATTCCATAGAGTGCTTTGAGATCAAGGACTGAAGAGATCTCTCAAAGGTGAATGGCCATTATTGACTTGTACAAGTAGTTGCAACAATAGCACTGCTGAACTGTTTGTGAACCTAGAGACTTAAAATCAGATGTTGAGGTTCCTGAAGTGATGGTGTGGGTCTACGGATGGGTCCAAAAGCAGGATACTGCATGGTACTGTGTTTTCCCAGGGTTTGGGGGTGACTAAGCAGAGTGCACAAGCTGAAGAAAATCAGAAATAACTATTGCTTTCTAGACTCTGCTTCAGGGATGACTGTACAGCATCTTGATGCTCAGATGAGAGGTTCAAAAGCTGTGATGCTTATGGTACATGGTCTGCCAACAACCGAAAGTAGCAGATAAGACTCCAGATAACAGCCTGGATGGTCATCACTACGTGCGTGTGCAGGAGATGATTTATGGTACCAAATGTCAGTTTATTTATTCTTCACCAGAAGATTTTAACTGAGGTTGGGCTCTCTGGGATGACTGATCCCCCTCAGATCCTCCTCCCATCCCCGCTTCCCGTGGCAGTGCCCACCACCTACTGCTTCTGAGAAAATGCTGCTGCTGCTCATCCAGGGGTAACACACCAGAGGGAAGGTTTTATATATCTGTAACTGGGCAAAAACTGTACGTGTGCCCAGAGGGAAAATGAGTCACCCAAACATATACACAGAGTGTATGATTTCTGTCGTCCCCATTCCTTAGGTTTTTATAAGGTTATGGAGCAACACAGCGGGGAAAAGGAGGGAGGAGGAGGGAACATAAAGTGATGCTTTATCAGATCCTTCTAATTATTGTAATTAAACACTCTGCGCTGAAATAGAGGCAGAAAGAATGTCTCTATCCAGATGGTACATGAGCCGCTTTGCAAACCGATCAGAACCATGTCATCCTGGCCACATTCAGCCCACGGAGGTGCCAGTAATGGGAACACCTGAGAAGAAAATGGCAGAAGGACGTGGCCATGTTTTTGGCTGTCTATTATTGCACTGAAAGGGGAAAAAAACCCCCACCCGGTGTTAAAGTAGGACTATTCATTTGTGGAGTGAAGCATTCAGATGTTAGGAAATGCCATCATTAAGATTTCCTATCCCATTTTATTTTGGTCCCCTTGTAGGTACACATTGCGATTGTCTCTAATTACAAGTTCACATGCTATTTTTTCCATTCAGTGCACAGAATGGACTTTGCTTAGCTTACAGAAGTATGTTTTTATTTCCTTATTCTATCAAGTAGGGCACCATACCTTATTAAATGTTCAAGAGCTCAAAACCTGCTCTGAAAATGAAGTGATCAATTCCCTGCAAAGCTTTTCCAGGGTATTAAACACTACAATGGGAGAATGATTAACAAATCTTGATTCATACTACCCTGCATGGCAGAGCAGCGTGGTGGTCCCTAATTGAGATCATAGAAGAAGTTATGGCCACTGTTTTTTGAGTGCCTGAAGGACAGCAGAAGGTCTAGTTCAGGCAGAGACAGTGGTCTAAAGGAAAAAGAGCCTGTCTGTGCCCTGCAGCAGGAAGAGCCACTGGGGAAGATTAATGCTTGTCTGCACTCTACATCTATAGGTGAAGAGTTATGGGCAATAACAGTGGAGCATGTTCAGAGAAGGGAACGGAGCTGGGGAAGGGTCTGAAGCAGCAGGAGCAGCTGAGGGAGCTGAGGGGGCTCATCCTGGAGAAAAGGAGGCTCAGGGGGGATCTTCTCACTCTCTGCAACTCCCTGACAGGAGGGTGGAGCCATGTGGGCATCAGGCTGTGCTCCCAGGGAACAAGGGACAGAACAAGAGGAAATGTTCTCAAGTTGTGCCAGGAAGTGTTTAGATTAGATATCAGGAGCAATTCCTTCACCCAAAGAGCCGTCAAGTTCTGGCACAGGCTGCCCAGGGTAGTGATGGAGTTCCCATCCCTGTAGGGAATTAGAAGCCACGTAGATGTGGCACTTGGGGACATGGGTTACTGCTCAGCTTGGCAGTGCTGGGGAATTGTTGGACTCGATGATCTTAGAGGGTTTTTCCATCCCAAATGATTCTATAATTCTATATATATGCCTGGTGGCTTTAGCACACACTCATGGCCCTCTCAGAGGTGAGTTTTCCCACTGCACATTCCCCACACTGTAACTGTTGAGCTGCCCCATTGGCTTCCATGGAAGCATTGATCCCCGATGACATTCCCCAACCCTTGCAGCCTTCCTGGGGACTTTTTAAAGACCTCACTCAACGCACTAGTGAAATGTGGATCACTTACCAGTCCGTGCCTTCTGCTAAATACCTGGGCTGGGGCCCCATGGGTTGTGGAGTCTGCAGTTGGTGGCTGAAGTCGAAGCTGGGGTGCAGGCGGTGAGGCTGGACAGACATGCGCTCTTGAGCCCGCCTGCAACAGAGAGAACAGCGACACAGTCAGACACGGGTGGCGCCGGGATGTACGGCTCCTGCTCCAACCTCCTGTCAATAATCCATGGGAAAACACCAAGGTGAACACGCGTCCAAGAGAAAACAGCCCAGGCAGGTGTCAGGGATGGTGGGAAGAGGAGCCCAGGGCTGCGTCATTTCCTCATCGTCGCCGCGGACATTGACTCTCACGCCCTTTGGCAACCACGTGTGCTCAGTTTACAGGAGGTGCTGTTTGGTGGCAACATGGAGAGAAAAAGAGGAAATCAAACAACACCTTCCTCAGCAGCTTCGTGCTGTTTGCACTATTTTTTTTTTTTCTCCACAGTCAGCCCCATAAACAACACACAAGATAAAACGTGTCCCTGCTTCAGCCGTGATCCATCATCATAAAGAAGCTGCAGGTTGTCTCGTCTCCCCATGCAGTCCATAAACTCCTGGGGAACCTCATTCATAACTGGATTACTCAGGAGTGACTGAAAGCAGAATTTACTCTCGCTGGCCTTTGCCAACATTCCTCTGGCTGATGGACAGACCAGGCCGGGATCCAGCTCCTTCTCCCTCAGCTCTGCTGCCATTGCAGGCAGGGAAAAGAAAGTGGTAGAAAATACAACAGAGTTTTCCTAGGGATTTGAGTCTTTTGGTTATTGTTTAGTTGAACCACTCAGGGGAAGAGGATGTGCTGCTTGATCAATGTCCACATTTGCAAGAGACAAGCTGGATGCACAAGCAGGATTTGCATTACAGACAGACTCATCACCTTCACTCCCTGCTGAGTCCCCACTTACCAGAGGAGCCACAAAGCAAATCTTCAGAAAAACACCAGAGCAAATGGAACAGGGAACTGCTAGGTAAATAATTTTTCATTTGAGCCACAGCTCAGAGACCTCACTTCAAAGGCATGACCCCCATTCCCATTATTGGGACCTCCTGCCCCACACCTGTAAGGGTTCTGACACCCTCCTCCTCTGCTGCTGTGCTTTCAGAGACAAGCTCTGAGCCTGGCCAAGAGGTTCCTGCCTTTTTTCACAGCCCACTTACAAATATAAAACTGACAGCATTTACCAAAGCAGAATCTGCATGGAATTGTGTTCTGTGCTTTTATTTGAATTCAGCTTATGACTAAGAGATAAACACGTGTATCATCAGTGCCTCAGCCTTGAACATACTCGCCACCCAATTATTATCTAATCATTAAAACCACCTAAAATCCAGCTTATGCAAAACAAAACAATGATGAGAAGAACACACAATTTTAAAACAGAAAGGGTATGGAAAGAAAGAGTTTTCTATCTGTAGCATTCTTTCCAAATGAAGCATTATTGCAAAGATTCATCCTCTGATTCTTGATCCATGGATACAACCCACAAATAGCTTCCATATGTTTACAAAACAAGCACTACTCTCTCAAAAAACACAATCAAGACAAGGCCAGGCATCCATTTCCACCTCTGCTGAGTTACAGTAGGTCTCTCTGCATTCGTCAACCCAGTCTGAATTTAAGATGCTTTCAGTGACAGAATGTGCTGCAGGTCAGTGGCATCATTCCCTCACAGAGATGGAAAGCCTACCTAGACCTAGGAGAGCGAGATCTTCATGTGTAAAAATGAGACAGGTAGATACAATCTCTTGCACTGCTTTGAAACAGCAGCTGCAAGGGTGTAGCTCACCCTCACAGTCTGTCCCTTTCTCTGCCACACAGCACAGGTTCATGATTCTCCTATGAGTGACAACAACAGGTGACCTTGGGACACACTAGATGAGCACTCTGTGGATCCCCACGGGAAAGGTACACACTAGATGAGCACAGTAGGGAATCCCCGAGGCAAAGGTGCCTGTTCAGGTGCAGCTTGCCCTGCAGCCTCCCTTCTGGTGGATGAATTTCCAGGGTGCACAGATGAACTCGTGAAGAAAACGCAACACTGCCAGCGCTGCTGGGGTTCTGCAGGTGAAGAGAAGCTGATGCTGCAGCTCCTCAACATCCCTCAGGAAGAGCAGGACCCCCTTACCTGGGATGGGGCATGAGCCGGCGGTGCTGTGCCTCGAGGAGCTGCTGCTGGAGGAGGTATTGCTGGTGTAGCGCCTGAGGTAGGAAGGAGGGTCCAGCGACGTCCTGGAAGGGCAGGGGTGGCACTGGGGCCAGGGGCTGGTGCAGGGGGCCACTGTGCTGGTGTGCAGGGGCCATGTGAGGGGTCAGCCCCGGCTGGGGCTGCACCGCGTGAGGCAGGGTGAAGTCGGCGGAGAGCTGAGGCTGGGGACCCAGGTGGAAATGCCGGCAGGAGGTAGCATGGGGATGCTGAGACCTTTGAAAGGGAGCACCTGGAAGAGAAGAGAACACAACCCGGTCTAGTGGAAGCTGTCCCTGCCCACGGCAGGGGGGTTGGATCAGATGACCTTTAAAGCTACTTTCCCACCCAAACCGTTCTATGTTTCTGTGAAATAGCCTCATCATTTTAGAAAAGGGAAAAACACCAAACCATTCTCTAAAATATTTTTTGTTAGGATATGAGCTCACTGGAGTTTTCAAAGCTTTTCCTGAACTGCAGACTTTCCATGCAAGTCAAGGTATTTCTTTGCCTCTCTAAAAATTTCTCACAGGCAAGGAAATAATCTCTGCTCCAAGAAACTCTCTCTCCCTGACTGCAGGACATGAGTGAGACACCTCCCTCCTCTGGGGGGGGGGATGAAGGCTATGTGTGTTTGCTGAGACCCTTCAATGGCCCGTCCTCGTGAGCTGCTTGCAGGGAGAGAGCAGCTGCTGGAAACATAACACAGACTGCTATGAGACCAGCCATGAAGCTGATGGGAGTGAGGAAGAAATGAGGTGTGAAAGATATCCGTAGTGGAGGCGTTTTGCAAAACATCTGGCACTGGCTTGCACCTTGCTCAAGATCCTCGCTTGGACGGGCCCTTGTTCCAATCCAGCATGTTAATTCCTACATTCCTGGAGCATTTACAGGCACCCTGCAAAACTATTAAGCTAGGGAAAGAGTCAATGCAGAGGTGAAGGATAAGACTCAAGTGAGGCTATTAGAAATGCCTTTTTGCTGAGGATCATTCACAGGATAGGACCCCTCCCCTTTTGCACAATGTTTTGAACACCCCATCTTCCTAAAAAACTCCCCTTCTTTTTTAAACCTTCAGGAATGGCCCAAAATATCCAGGAACAACAGCACCAAGAGACACTGAGTGTCATCCCAAGACACAGGCATGCACATCATGCCTTCTTCACCCAGACCCCTTCTGCTCCCGCCTCCCTGGCAGGCAGGGCCAGTCCATCACAACAGCTTAGGGAGCCCTGAGTGCTTTCTGCTCGCTCCCATATGGAAACAGGAGAGACACACAGCAAGCCAGATGCCAGCAAGAGAAACAACGGGAGAGGACTTAACAGAAACGGATGGTTTGCAAAACTGTGCATAATTACACACAGCATCTCTTAAATACGAACTAATCCTCCAGAGTGCCCCTCTGAGAGAGGCAGCGGGGAACAAATTCCTGTGCCACCCACAGTGGAACTTCTTAAGGTGATATTTCCCCTGCTGTCAGATAACAGCATGATTTGACCATGCTATTAATTAAAGCCAGAGGTGGTGGGATCAGACCCACCGTTCCTCAATGACGGAGCTGCAAACCCAGACCCAAGAGCCGTCTGTATATTCCATTCCCCTGCAGGTTATATTTGTTGCTGGTGACCTGTCCCAAATTCACCACAAACAGGTAAAGGCTGAGTAACAAAATGGGGATCCTGTGCTGCCCTGGCCCATTGCTAGAGGGAATCATGGGGAGACGCCCCCTGACTGCTGTTTGCTTGGTACTTGCCAAGCAACTTGTGGTGAATTGCTCAACCTCTAATGGCCACGTGTCCTCCCAGTGGCAAACTGCTGCAGCAGGTCACAGGTGAGCCACCTGACACCTCCAGGCCTTCACAGGGCCTGAAGACAAGGTGCAAGGGCAAGGTAAAACTGTTAATCCCTCCACACACCCCAACACAGGGGTCACCAGGCAGCAGTTCACTTGTATTTCAAACAAAAATGTCTTAGGGTGATGCGAGACAGTGAAACTTAGTGACACTCCCCCACATTCCCTGGGACACATTTTGTAGCATTTTGTGAATAAAGCAGAAAAAGCCTGTCTCTCGTCTTCTGCCACTCTCTGAACTGTTGATGCCTGGTGCAACCTTGGCCAAGGATTTTCCAGCCTTCTACTGGATCTTGGGAGCCCTTAGTCTGATTTAGTTAAAGGTCTGCACGACCTTTGATGCCAGAGCCATGGTGACCTACAGAGCACAGGGTGGGCAGATTATCTGGTCATGCTTTTAATCTGAATTTTTCCTCCCATACCAAGACAGTCCTTGGGAGGAACTTGGTCTTACACTTCCTGAAGGTCCAGAACATGCAAACTTTATCTCTGGTATGTCTGCAGGAAGATATGCACAGCCAACATAACTGAGAGCAAAAGCCTGATCCATTTTGTTTTTGTACAGAGTGTTAATTTGCCTTGGTTTTAGGCACTAATTAATTAAATCAAGCATTTTTCAGTGTTTTTTTGCTTGTACCTACTGGTTCAGTGATGCATTCCTCTCCACAGGAAAAACACCATGAAGATGTGACCGGGACCATATGATTAAATAAAACCCATCAATTTGTCTTAACATAATACAATACCCTGTGTAGTAATTGTGCATTCCCTACAACTAATCCAATTGCTGATGAGGATTTTGACAGCAAAGCAAAGACTTTGGGGAATACTTCAGCAATTCTATGCTTATTAGCAGCCATCAAATCATACAGCTGGCATAACCAAACCAGCTTGGTTTGCACAATGAAGAGCCAGTCCTCGACAAGCAAGGTGCTGCTGGACACCAGAAAGACCTGGCAAAAAAAGTAACAGTGCAAAACTGAACATTACATTTCAAAGTGATTTATTTTTGAGTTCACCGTCTTCTGATCATTGCATCTAGCTGCAAAGGGCCCTTGGTGGAGACTGCTTTCCACAGCCTCTCCCATCATGTCCTAAAGCCAGGGTCAGCATCAGGGATCAGCGTATTGGGAATGGCAACTTTGGTAGTTCCTGCCACTGTTAGAATATGAGCACAGATCAGTGGCTGCCCCAACTGGCCTGGTACCCCTCTGACACTGATGGATGCTGAGGACCCGCCGTGGAGCTGGGTCTGCTGTATTCCCCACATCTTCCAGCTCGGCAACGCTACAGCCTCACAGAATCATTTAGAATTACAGTATAGAACAATGGAATCATTTAGGTTGGAAAAGCCCTCTAAGATCCTCGAGTCCAACTGTTAACCCAGCACTGCCAAACCCACCACTAACCCACGTCCCCAGCCCGCACCGTGAAGACAATCTCCCGCAGGGAAGGTTGTTTAACCACCATTTACGAAGCACCCAAAACACTTAGCTGGGAGCTGGCAACCACAGGCTGCAGCCTCAAACTGAGGAGGTATAAATTAGCTTTTAGAAAGCCAGCAGATGACGCGGGCACGTGGATGGCTGAACCTGTTCTGCTGCTCGCCGCCGCGCTGCCGTTCCCGCCCTTCACTCACAGAGGCTTCAGACACGGCGGAAACCCACAGGGAAGCTCAACACATCCTCCTCACCGCCACGCTCTCGCTTACACGGCTGCTTCCTTCTTTTTTTTCTCCCCCCCCCCTCAGTTCTACAGTTATGTTTATCGTTTCCACACATTATCTGAAGCAGCACGGATGCATTTCCATTAACAGAAGCGCTCCCATTTCCTTCGCGCCCCCGGGCCAACGCTGGAAACGATAAGTTCATATATTTTTGCAGGTTCATAAGTGACACCGAGTCACAGAAGAGCACTGGTCTGATCCTGGGTTTTTCTGCCCCTGAGGATTCTCCTTTAGCATCAGGCAAGGCTTGACTATACCTAGGCACATGCAAATTTATCCATCCAGCAGTATTTCACCCAGAAAGGCTCAAGGGATCCGTGTGCTCATTCAACGCTGACCCATCTCAGAGATGCAAAGCCCCTGGGTAATCCCTGCAGTGAGACAAGGCATGCTACAGGCTTTGTGAAAAGAAAAACCCAGAAAGCAGAACTATTTATTTCCACCTCCTTTCCTTGGGCAATGGCATTCTTGATGCAGTCAGGCTGCTGGTAAGGGACAGGGGATCAGGCCTGGAGCTGGCGTTGGGATAGGTGTCTTGAGCAGACAGCTGCAGCCCAGGGAGCCCGCCTGCCTTTGAGAGGAAAACAAAATCTGTCTCATGCTGTTAAGCTGCCTACAATGCATGTGAATTTTTCCCCTGGGTAAGGCAACCTGGCCGGCTTGTCGAGGCAGCCCATGGTCTGCACGAGAGGGCTGGGGATGGTGGGGGGGGCTGGGGGCTGTGTTACATCTAGATCCCATCACTGCAGGGAGGGAGATGGCAGCCCCTGGAGAGCCTTGGCTTCACTCAGTGACAGATTTTACAGCTGGAGGAGATCTGCCCGTCGTAATCAGCAAGGCCGGGGGATGGAGTCGCGTCGTCTCGGCCATTTCGCCCTGATTAGACCCCCCAGAGCCCCTCCTCCTGTCCTGGGGAGGCAGATAAACCCCACTAACAGGAGCCAGCAAGGTGCCTCTCCGAGAACCAGGAGAGCCTGCCAGGCTTTCAATAGCCCAGGAGCCTGCAGCTTGCTTCCCTGGATGTGCATTAAAATTCCCCTCGGAGCCAGCAGCACGGTGGGAAATTCACATTGGTCCTGACAGTACACAGTGAGCAAAGGCCAAAATCGTGAGAGCAGCTCCAGCTTCACGTGGCACACGGAAAAGGACACCATGGGGGGCTCACACTTCGCCTACAAACAAGCTCCTAATTGCCTGATGCCATCAGCCATGTGTTAGCCCTTTCCAAATTATTTGTGCATGCACCCTTATGGAATGACTTAAATTCGCTTACAAATAGGAAATGAGGGGTGACAATCACAGAACGGCTCAGGTTGGAAGGGACCTTAAAGGTCATCTGGTTCCAGCCCTCCTGCCATGGAAAATAAAAAATTAAAAAAATAAATTGCCAGACCAAATCCATAGTATATCCAACTGCATAAGAATGTAGTGGTCTAGGAGAGAGAGATATCGTGCCATCTCACTCCTGTTACAGGAGAGCTAACTGCAGGGCAAGGAGATTGGGGCAGGGAGGATGGAAGAGGAGGAGGAAAGAATTTAAATTTATCAGACAGGAAGGAATCTGTCTCACTTTCATCACCTTTGCCAACAGCTTTCTCCTTTCATTTAGCAAAACACTGAATCACAGAATAATCAAGGTTGGAAGAGACCTTCAAGATCATTGAGTCCAACCCTT